AAAATCTATAGAAATGCTAATTACAGAAATGACTAAGTTTTCTTCAAAAATTTATATGCAAAAATAAATCAAAAGTTGTTACCTTTTATTAAAATATCCTATATAAAAATAATCCAAGTCAAGAACACAATATCACATAATTATTACATCCACTTTCACACTAACTTATATAAACAAACACTAAATAAGAAACACTTCCACTTGAAGAGAAAGTTTTAAATGTCCGTGGCACAAATCCTTTGACGATGAGAAGTTATCCTGCGTTGAGGCTAGCCTTCCCGGTACGTAATTATGGTACTCGACGTCTCGAGTTAGATTCCATGGAATAATTAAGTAAGGGCCCTATCAATAACGAAGGAGTTTGCACGCACGTGACAATGTATACAATATACACAATTATGGACAGGATATCCAAAAATCTGGTGACGTCAATAATCATATGGTTTTAAAAACCAATAGAATGACTAGAATCTCGGCGGGAAGAAGGTAACTAGGTCATATGTAAATGCCGCACGAGTAAAATCCAATCAAAATCCTTCTTTGCACAAATGAATTTATCTTACACTAGATAATCCAGTACACAAAATACTATTCACGTATGTAAGATCAAATGCATCAAATATTTGGAAAACAATAATAAATCATATGTTGGTCCAGTCTTATCAACTGATCTCTTGTAGATGTTACAGTTGAATCACGTTGGGCGCCATTGTCGACGTAGCCAAGTCGGCAGTTATTTGTATTACAGGTGGGGTAATAGACAGACACAACAAATGCAAATCTGAAATATCCAAGATATTTATTAAACAATATATAAACACAATATAAATATATAACACAAATTTAACATGTAATGGTCAGTTATGAAGTGCCATTAACAATTATAAGATAAGGTTGAATGAGTGATACAGGTATGTAATAACTACATGTACAATTTCAGGTAAGTATTGTAAATATTCCAGGTAAGTATTGTGAATAATCTCTCTGTTATCTATCAAAAACCTCTATATATTAACCAATAATGACATTCTGTAATAATCTAATAATTCAAATAATAAGTCAGAGATTATTAACCTGAAATATCCAAGATATTTATTAAACAATATATAAACACAATATAAATATATTACACAAATTTAACATGTAATGGTCAGATATGAAGTGCAATGGAGCATCACAAAACATACCCGAACATAACATATCAAGTTTACGGGTGACAGGTTAGTAACAATGACAGAGAAGAATAATAGAAATATAGAGAGAGATATAACGGTATAGGATCAGGGGTCAAATAATATATAACACATTAAGATACAGTTGATATACTTTATTTGAAATGTATAACAAAACATATGACAATGTACATTTTATATAATTTCTATCCTGCGACATACGGATATCTAGAAAAAATGAACTTCAAACAAGTATTTCAACCACCGGTATGATGAATTCATGTTTTAATCCAAAGCTGAGATAAATATATCTAAGAAATAACTTTCATGTCTCATTTAGACTTAGACAAACACAAACAATAATATGTTTTGATATTATTTAAGATGTACCATGCTCACATTTCATATCTAAAATACTGTTAATTGCTGCACAGTGACCCATAACTGTGAATTCAGCTTCCCATACATAATTTACGTATTCTTTTATTCAGTTTAGACGTATTCAGTAAGAATTCCGTTCATTTTTAAAAATGAATTTGTGAAAAAAAATATTTAACTCAAAGCTGGGCACTGTATATCTTGAAATAATTTACAGTTATTTAGCCTAGATTATACGGCTTAATCAAGTACGTAATGGTTTTGTTCTGCAGACCATTTTAGAAAGTAAGATATACCATACATGCGCATTCTGCTTAGGGCAAAGGATAAAACGAACTATATTGAACATACTTTTATTTAAGAACGTAATCTTATATTTTTGATTGTAGCAATTATCTTTTTGCCCTGACGGTTTGCGCATGCATCTTAATTCTGCATACTTACGGAGCACGTTGTAAGAAGTATATTCTATTTGATAACAAAATAATTTATTTGAGTATTTATGATGTTGAAATATCGAATTAAAACGGGTGACGCAAATCGAAAAATAAAATAAATAATGTATTTTACAAAAAATACAATTAAAAAACAATGAAAGAGATTTGTGTAAACTGTTTCTATTTTAATGAGCAAAAATATGCAAAGTGTCTGAAAATCATCACATCTTTTTCTCTTTTATATATCTCTAATGTATATACATGCACAAAATGTTCAACAATTTTAATCATACCAAAGTTTAGATTTGTATTTATTCTTTTTTAAGTTTGTTAATTAAGGTTTCATCTCCCGATGGACTGCAAATAAACTTCCCTAGACCTCCAATAATGGGGTCTAGGGTGGACTTCAATTTCGTTCGAACGCCACCTGCATCTTAGTAAGACATTTCATTGATTGCAATATAATAGTATATTAATAACGCATACGCGGTCTGCGTAGGGCAAAATGAGCATCGTCCTACATAGGAATATAGTACAAATTGGTAGACAATTCCTAGTTAGTTTATGGTAAAAGGTAGAAAAATTATATAAAATAGCTTTTAACAAAAAAAGAAAAGATGCCTTTGTAGCTTTGTGGCGAAGAATGCCAACAATGGCATGGACATTTTTTTAAAGACGATGTGAAAATATAACTATTAGCAAATTAAAAGTCAGCTTAATTGTTGTTGAAACAGTTTGTATAAAAACTAAAGAAATTTTATAACATGAAATAGAGGTTAATTATCATTCTGTAAAAAAAGGTCAGAACAGGTGATAATGCATTTTTAGTGTTCAGTTTACCTGATTTTATCCTTTAACCGATTTGAATGTGATGCAAAAAGAAAATGTTAAAGTCATAGATATATTTTGAATAAATAAGAAGCTGTTCGGAATTACATTAAGTGACATTTCACACATTTTCAATAACGATTTTAATAATTGTACGTTACTAACCTTACGAGTATACGCCGGACTGTATCTGTACTATATTGGAAGAAGAAAAAGAATCAAAAACTTTAAATAGTCATCGTTATTGCGTTTTTGCACTACGCAGGATGCGCATGCGCGAAATGCAACATTCGTTACTAAAATCGTATTGAAAATCGTATTGTGAAAAAGGTCTATGTGCTGAAGAATGTTAAAATTCCGTACTGTGTCCAAGCTGGTTACTTTTGCTCTTTCTGTTGTTCAGTAATTTGAATGTACCAATTTATCCTAATATGTTCTTTAATTGTTGTTCTAAAAGAAAATAAAATATTAAACATCCTCATTCGTTATAAATCGAAATCGAAAAAATGAAAATTAAAGACAGTGACCAATAAATTAAAAAATATCAATTTGCCTAGTTGTTGTCAAAATTTTAATTAGAGAACTGTTAAGTATGTCATTGATGTTTTATTACTCATGACTTTCATACAAACAATATCTTAAAATAGCAATTTATAATTCCTAAAATCTATTCCTGGAAACATACAAATTCTATAAATTTGACTTAATATGATAGCTACATTTGATAACATACTTACCTTGTTTGTTTTGTTTGTAAGTATATTATTTACCTTTATATAATTGTAAGAATATTTGTTTAAATTTTAAAGTCGAAGTTGTATTCTAATAGCCTACTAGAAGCAGCATTATTTCCTGTCTTTAATTCATTATGTAAATATATTTTCATAACAATACAAAAAATTGCAGTATCCATGCTGGAGTCTTATTGTTGCTCAGCATGTTCATCATAAGTGCATTGAATAAAGTTATTGATTGGATATTAAAGCAGATTTGAAATAATGATTTTTTCTTTTTCTTGTTTGCTTGAGTTCCTTGATTTTCTTTTTTTATATAGTTTTTAGATTTTGCAACTATGATGTTTTTGTTTTTTTAGCACTATGCAGTTACGTGGGAACGGTATCCATAGCTACAGGATGTTCAGTCCGAGGTATTATTTTGAATATCATTTAATTTAGGAACGCCCCGTACCAAAAGGAAAGGTTTGCCGTAAACTCGCCGCAACTTTGCCGCAAATTCGCTGCAAACCTTTTAGTTCGCCGAAACACTGTGTCAAGAGTTTGCCAGATATCGCCACTAGTGGCAACTCTGTAGCAAACATTTGGCGACTTTGCGGCAAATTCACCAGAAAATTAAGTAGTTTGCCAAAAGTTTGCCAGAAACTTTCAGTGGAAAACTAATTTGCCAGAGATTGCCAGAATCTTTCTATGAAAAAAAATATTCACTGAAAGTTCACCAGAAACTTTTCTATAAAAACAAGTTTGCCAGATAATCGCCACAAACACATCAGTTCTGAAAGTTAATCAACTTTGTTCAGTAAATAACTATTTTGCCAAGGAATTATATTATTATGCACATATAAAAAAGTCCTTCATGTACCTACCTATATATAACCTACCTACCTACCTACCTACCCAACCCTATTTTAATGGGTCGGGAAGTGGAAACAAACATATTTTTATTTTTTGCCTAAGAGTTATCAAATTGAAACATCATATGTATCATGGAGGGTATTGTAGTTCACAATAACAGTTAAAAAATTATACGGTAGAAGACCCATAATGAAATCGGCAATCTTCGACAATTACCGCCATATCTCGCGATTTATCGTAACGAACTTCGTTTGTTTACGTATAAAGTCGGAATTCTAATAATAGCGGATATCCCCGGTCACGTGGTAGTATTCCCCAAGAAAATGACGTTATTTCCGTAGATATCTAACATGGCGTCTTACAGGCGTGATACGCTCGGTCGATTCAAGTTTGTTTCAAAAAGTGAAAAAAAAAAGTGTAAAAAGATGCAGAAAACCCAAGTATTGCGACTTAATTATAGAACAATAACTATAGTGCAGGTAACCAGTATTACGGGTCAACCAAACCAGCTCTACAAAACATCAACTCTTCCTAAATCGGTTGATAATGAGGGTTTGGAAAAAGGGAAGAAGAATCGTTGAGACTTGAGTTTTGGCGTGTTACGGTCAACCCTAAGATTTTGTAAAAAATGTAGACTTGGACCAGTAGGCTACCATTAACTTTTGACAACATGTTAGGTGAATTTAAACAGGGTGTGTCTGGATATTTGTATGTGAAATGTCGAAACACAGAAATTATGCGGTCATGTGAATTGTGTTCCCTATGGAAAAACACAGACTCTAGTAGTAGTAGATTGAAGACCTGGGAAAGTTGGAATGCCATGTTTCGTTGTCAACACAAAATTAGGACCAGGTAAGCGATTAATGTATTGCATCATACTTTAGATTAACAACAGATTATCAACATATTATATATAGTTTTATCAAGGTATGCTTCACTTTACTTCATGGCATGTTCGATGAATAAATACGAGAGTGTCAGATTCCTGGCACGATTATTGGTGGACTTTCCCTACGGTGTTATCTTCAGCGTTCATGTCATGTCATAGTATATAAACGGGTACGCTGAAGACCTTAAGCTAACAGAATACATGTATCTTGTTTGTGTTGAGCTGTAAAACACTACTCCTTATTGTGAAGGAAGTGGCTAACCATACGGGCCCGTACGGCTAGCCAAAAGTTCTAGCCGTACGTGACTCACGTACTCCATTTAATTTTGAAAAGTGCCGTACGGCTAGCCAATACAGTGTGTCCTGGCTAGTCGTACATGACTCACGTACGGCTAGAACTTTTGGCTAGCCGTACGGGCCTGTACAGCTAGCCACTTCCTATTGTGAAATTTTTTATAAACTTCCCTCTGAACTGTTTTAATTTCCCCAAAGTCACTGAGAAATTTGAAAAACAAATGATAAAACGTTGCTAAATTAAATCTTGCAACAATGCAATTTTTATTAAGACATTACAGAATCCTACATGTACATTATATAAAAGACACAGTTTACACTAGGCTGCCAATACCCACAGTCACAGTAATATTCAACATACAATGTACATGAGGCAGCTAAAAATAGCTCTATATAAATTTATGCAATGTGTTATTATCACGGTTATGTAAATTACAATCCATGTGAAGTTTTTTTTGACAAAATATTTGTATACTTAAATGAAATAATTTGTTTCTTTTCATTTTCTTACAGCAATGATTGATAGTGTAGGTGGGCCGGTGAGGGGAGGGTCAACAATTTGTTGTCAACACTCAATATACCAACAATTGGAAATAAAAACATGAAAAGAAATGGAGAGACTTGTTGGAAATATCATTGAGACAGTGGCTTCTATCTGTCTATGTCGACAGAATCTGCTGCGAAAGATCAAGGAAATGGAGTAAGACACATTTACAATGATATTTTCGAAATAACATGTAATTGAATTGGAAGAATTTGAAAAATTATTTTGTAATTATTATGTCTATGCAGCTTATCATGGTATAATCCTATATTGCTGGTATACTCGTGGTTTAGGGAACCAAAGAATCTTATACAATCCATATATATATGAGAAAAGAATTTTTAAACAAATTGCTTTGTTGTTTTTGCATGTTACTCTATATTCATGTACATATTTCTTTTTTCAAAATAACATGAATGTGTAATTGTTTTTTTTAAAAAGTATTTATTTCTACATGACAAACTGGGTCTGCCTGGGCTCCTTGCCATTGGTACTTGTTGCTGGGTCATATGGGGGTTGCGTTCATTGAACGTCGCCTTTCCTTGTTGATCTTGTTTATCATATTTTACCTTCATTGGTTTAAGACTAAAATTCTTATTAAATACATGCATTCTTTTTAAGGGATGTGCATCATGAAGAATCAATGGTATCAGAACACAACATCATGGAAGATCTTATTGACAAGATCTTGGAGGATGTCCTTTGCCAGATGCCTCGCCAGCACTAAAGTGAGTACTGGTAGTTTGTTTTCTGTATTTTGTTTATTTACGAAAGTAAAGGACTATGCAAAACTGACTGGTGTTGTTGAACTGTTTGTGTTATGTCAGTTGCTTCAATATATGAATATCTCTCCATATACTGTTTGTACATATGTATTTTTTTTATTCAAGGTCTATTCTTCAGTCAGATGCTACAGTTACAAATGACAGTGAATGGTCAGATTTATACAATTGTGATGAACAATCCTCAACAATACATCAAACAAAAATTGCTATTAAACTGTAAGTTGAAATCTATGAGGTTTTTTTATATATATTTATAATCATGGTGTAGCAATTAAATGATAATACTGTGATAATTTTGTAATGCTATTTGGGGTCGTCTTCAATAGAAACAATTTGATGTGTCTTCATGTGATGAATAATCGATATGCAGTCCGAATTATTTCATAAAAGTGATTGCTAAAATTGGTCAGGAAAAAGTTGTGCAATCAGCATTAATAACAGTGTTTCTGCCAGCTCTGATTTTCTGAGGGTCTTTTATGACCCCCTGTATGATATTTTAGGGGTCATTTCAAATTCATATGGGTCATGCCAATAAATTTAACAAAAATGTAAAAAAAAACAACAGGTAACACTTTATAAGTTTTATTTACAATATTTTGTATATTTTTCGTGAAGAAATTGGTCAATCTCTGCTATTTTGGATTATTTGTCATCCAATAATAACGCTGTATTTCTTAAAAATTATGTGTGTTAATTTTCATAGAAGAAAGAAAGTCGATACTATATTGAAATTCGTTCATAGTCGCCTTCTATTTTTCATAGTGCTTCATAGTACCGCCTAGTGACGTAATCAAGGGCCAAATAAAGCTTGACACTAAATATGTTAGTGTTCATCCTTAGCTGTTTTACAGAAATTAGAAACATTCTCCTGTCGCTATCGCTCCCTTCGAAGTTTCTAATTTCTGTAGAACAGCACAGATGAACACTAACATATACGCAGACTGCATTTTCCAGCAGACAGTTATTCGTTCGCAGAATATGACGACAACAAAATAAATAATTTTGTCTGGGCGCTTTCAATATATGCAGTAACGTATAAATGCAAGCGTTTATTAACTAGTTGAAATTGTCTAAATGCCGGACCACGGACCCGGTAAATTTTATTTCTCATTAAAATTATAGTGGAGCCCACGGTAAACATTCCGTACATTTTTATACTGAATTGACGGTTTATAGTCTGCATATCTGACTTGTGTTGAAATCAGCGACGGTGAAATTCTTGCGTCACAAAATACGCACTAACTAAATTTCATTGCATCATGGCTGAAAATAGTGCGCCAAAAACGAGCTCTGGCAGAAACACTGTTAATAATTAACAAAACTAATTCTAGTATGAACATTGTGTTACATTAATTATAAATAAGTTATTGTCAATTCATTGGTGTAGTTTCTCAATATTTGTCAATATTACGTTTAAAGATGAATTTTAAATTACAGAAAATATTTTTGAAATATTTTTACAATAACAGTTCTCACAGACAGTCAAAGGTTGAAAACAAATCAGAAGTGGTCCACATCTTGAAAAACCTCACAGCAGATTAAGACTTTCCCCGAAATTTCCCTGTAAAACCAGCAGTGGTATGTCCAATTCAGTAGATACTGCCTGGCACAAAAGAGGATTTGACAGTTTAACATGTAAGTAAAATAAGATTATTTTTATGCCCCCACAATGTGGGAGCATATAACGTTGCACTTGTCAGTTCGTCCCAAAATCTTGTGAACGCAACTCCTCTTAAACCGGATGGCAGACTTTGCTTAAACTTACAGGGATGAACAACCTTAATGTGTAGATGGTAGTTAAGGAAGGAATTTTCGCTGCGACCAAATTTAACAGAATTATGGCCCTTTGTTGATTTTTTCACTATATACTATGTAGAAATTTTGTGAAAGCAACTCCTCTTAAACCGGATGGCAGATTTTGCTTAAACTTTCAGAGATGAACAACCTTAATGTGCAGATGGTAGTAAAGGAAGGAATATTTGCTGCAACCAAATTTAACAGAATTATGGCCCTTTGTTGATTTTTTCACTATATACTATGTAGAAATTTTGTGAACGCAACTCCTCTTTAACCGGATGGCAGATTTTGCTTAAACTTCCAGGGATTAACAAACTTAATGTGTAGATGTTAATAAAGGAATTTTTGCTGCAACCAAATTTAACAGAATTATGGCCCTTTGTTGATTTTTAGTTTTCAACTTGTGGCACATGTAGTACAAAAACTATTTGACCTAGAGTCATAAGATTGACAGAACAGTGGCGTGTGGGGGCATCCGTGTCCTATTGACACATTTCTAGTTTTTCTCAGTTATCATGTCAGTAATGATTTAGAATTTGTCAGAAAAGTATCTGTGTATATTTTAACCACTGTTATTGATGTATAATTGAAAAAGTGAGTTTTGCATACAAGTAAGACTGGTAAGTCAGCATTGTTCTTTCAAACAGTGGCATTTAGAAGAAGAATCCTAATGGTTATTTGAATGACCCTGGTTTTAACTTTGAGCTCTGACCTGGCTGTCATGTTCACAGCATGCATCATTTTTGTGTCGCCTCTACGGAGTAGTGGCCACATATAGGGATCATTTCTCCGTCGTCTGTCTGTCTGTCCGTCCGTCACAAAACTTGTCCGGACTACTCCTCAAAAACTACTGGTGCAATTTCATCCAAACTTTAAAGGAATGATCAGTACCAAGTCTAGTTGTGCACTGTCTGTCTGTCTGTCCTACTGTCACAAAACTTGTCCCAACATGAAATTGGCCATCATGAGGCGACACATGTGATCACTGATCGCTCTTGTTTGTTATTTTGGTGTGTTTTTAACATAATACCTTGATTTCTTAACTAAGTTAGATAAACTTATAATATATGAGCCACTTGTCATTTGTAAATAAATCTAGGTTTTGCAATGCAAATACATGTTCATCCCAACAGATCAAAATTAAGCCAGCACCAGTGTATTGACCAATAAATAATAAATGCCTTTGGTGTTTATTTTCTTCATTTGTAGGTGGGCTTTACTAATAGATTACTGCCACTTTATTTCAAGGTGGGGTTTTGGGGTATCATTCACCTTCAGTGATAGTTCTAGTTTTATTCAGTATAAACATGGTAAAATCAGGCTGTCAACCAATTCCTATATTCCTATAAAACTCCTATACTTTGGGTCGGAATCCTATATTTTAAAAAACCTCCTATTTTTCCTATATTCTCCTATATTTTTAAATATTTTTCCTATATTTTTTTGAAAAAATATTGTCGAGGAATTCAAAGAGATTTAAATTTGTACTGCTTTTGGCCTTTTGTATTTTACAGGTAAGAGGTAGTGTATGCCTGCATCACATTACTATGCTCAAGGCTGCTGTGCTCCACATAGCAATCTGCATGGTCACCAAATGAAAAGCAGTGCATCAGTATGTCAACTTTATTTCAAGGTGACCATTCAGATGATGGTCATGCCATTGCTGTAACTTTCTGCCGGGATGCTGATTGCTGTGGTTCAAAAGCTATTGCAGGCTGTCCAGGGTCCCTGAAATTCCTAAAAAATCCTATTTTTTTCAGTTTGGCTAACATTCCTACAAAAGTGAAAAATTCAAAGGGAATTCCTAAAAATGCCCTATTTTTTTCACTGAAATTCCTAATTTTTTATCTTTTGTTATAAACATACTTATAACTTGTAACCCTGTCAAAATAATCACGGACATAACTAAGTCGACCATGTTTTGAACATGTTTTTGGGCATGATTTGCCAACTTAAAATTGATGACATTGAAATGGTTTCGTTTTAATTAAGTCACTTTGACTATGTCAGTAACATTGCTATTTCATAATCAAAGCAGTTGTTGATAATCATGTTGACAGTTAACAGCAAAAATACTACCATATCATGGTCCTGAAACTCAGATCATAACCATAAGAGTCCACTTATTCTGGAATATTTTGACACTGTTTTGCCAACTCCAGATATCTTGAATTTTATGTTTGTTCATTTTATCCAAATTTCTGAGGTGGTCCATTTATATCATATCATAATTGAAAATGATCATTATGAAGCTGTTGTAACACAATCTTAATTAAAAACATGTATAAATAGTTGTCAAAAATTAATGTACAATTTGTTTACTCACAACTCTTTTATTTGAATCTGCAAAATATCAAAACAACATTGTAAAGTACATATGGTGCAATTTAGGAAAAGGCAGACTCATATAGTTAATCACACTCAATAATAATTTGGCAGTAATATAAGGCTCATTTCCAATTACAATGTACACACATTTTGCAATTATGCGATCTAGATAAACTGCAATTGAATGGTCTGTGTGATGAACTTTTTAGCTCACCTGTCACAAAGTGACAGGGTGAGCTTTTGTGATCGCTTTTCGTCCGGCGTCCGTCCGTCCGGCGTCCGTCGTCCGTCCGTCGTCCGTCCGTCGTCCGTCCGTAAACTTTTGCTTTAAATGACATCTCCTCATAAACCACTGAGCCAATTTCATCCAAACTTCACAGGAATGTTCCATTGGTGGTCACCTTTGAAAATTGTTCAAAGAATTTAATTCCATGCAGAACTCTGGTTGCCATGGCAACCGAAAGAAAAATCTTTAAATATCTTCTTTTAAACAACCATAAGAGCTAGAGCTTAGATATTTGGCATGAAACATCTTCTAGTGAGTGTCTACCAAGTTTGTTCAGATAAAAGCCCTGGGGTCAAAATTGGCCCCGCCCCAGGGGGTCATTGATTTTCCCTATATGCATATAGTAAAAACTTAAAAAATCTTCTTTTAAAGAACCCAAAGAGTTAGAGCTAAGATATTTGGCATGAAACATCTTCTAGTGAGTGTCTACCAAGTTTGTTCAAATAAAAGCCCTGGGGTCAAAATTGGCCCCGCCCCGGGGGTATTTGATTTTCCCTATATGCATATAGTAAAAACTTAAAAAATCTTCTTTTAAAGAACCGTAAGAGCTAGAGCTTAGATATTTGGCATGAAACATCTTCTAGTGAATGTCTACCAAGTTTGTTCAAATAAAAGCCCTGGGGTCAAAATTGGCTCCGCCCCAGGGGGTCATTAATTTTCCCTATATGCATATGAGTAAAAACTTAAAAAATCTTCTTTTAAAGAACCCAAAGAGCTAGAGCTAAGAAATTAAGCATGAAACATCTTCTAGTGAGTGTCTACCAAGTTTGTTCCAATTAAAGCCCTGGGGTCAAAATTGGCCCCGCCCCGGGGGTCATTGATTTTCCCTATATGCATATAGTAAAAACTTAAAAAATCTTCTTTTAAAGAACCATAAGAGCTAGAGCTTAGATATTTGGCATGAAATGTCTTGTAGTGAATGTCTACCAAGTTTGTTCAAATAAAAGCTCTGGGGTCAAAATTGACCCCGCCCCAGGGGGTCATAGATTTTTCCTATATGCATATAGTAAAAACTTAAAAAATCTTCTTTTAAAGAACCCAAAGAGCTAGAGCTAAGATATTTAGCATGGAACATCTTCTAATGAGTGTCTACCAAGTTTGTTCAAATAAAAGCCCTGGGGTCAAAATTGGCCCCGCCCCGGGGGTCATTGATTTTTGCCTTTATGCATATAGTAAAAACTTTAAAAATTTTCTTTTAAAGAACTCAAAGAGCTAGAGCTAAGATATTTAGCATGAAACATGTTCTAATGGGTGTCTACTAAGTATGTTCAAATAAAAGCCCTGGGGTCAAAACTGGCCCCGCCCGGGGGGGGGGGGTCATTGATTTTCCTTATATGTGTATAGCAAAAACTTAAAAATCTTTTTTGAAAAAACCCAAATAGCTAGAGTTTAGATATTAAGCATGAAACATCTTTAAGTAAATATCTACAAAGTTTGTTCAAATAAAAGCCCGGGGGTCAAAACTGGCCCTGCCCCAGGGGTGTCATTGTTTTTAACTATATGTGTATAGTAAAAACTTTAAAAAATCTTCTTTTAAAAACCCAATGAGCTAGAACTTAGATGTTTAGCATGAAACATCTTCTTATGGGTGTCTACCAAGCCTGTTCAAATAAACAAATAAAAGCCCTTGGGTAAAAATTGGCCCGGGGGGGGGGGGGGGGGCCTATATACAGGTGAGCGACCTCAGGGCCATCATGGCCCTCTTGTTTGATATGCAATTCTTTGTGTTGATTATAGATGCTTCCCATTTATTCAAATGACTGTACTAAGGCAAATGCCTTTTTACTTCCTACTTGTACAAAAAATTTCATTTGTCCATATTCAAAAGCTGCATTGTGCAAGAATTTCACTGTATAAGAATTCCTTTCAGACACTTGTGGTTATAACATTCCCAAAAGATAGGTAGAACATGTTCTTTTTTACATGTTCAGCCATTTAAAATAATATGGTTTGAACATGATTTGACTATGACCATTTCCGCAGGGGAGGCAGTTGACCTGAGTGAGTCCACACTGTTAGCAATTTGCTCTAACTAATTTAGAGCATTATTTGTGAGTTACTTTTGTGTCAAATTTGCAAAGGTTAGCCCACATCATGGTCCTTTGGGACCTTAGTTTATTTAGTTATAAAATTGCAAATTTTAGCTCTTAAATTTCTATTATGTACCCTAAAATTCCTAATTTTAGCCTTAAACTTTCTGAAATATTACCCTAAAATTCGCCCTAATTTTATGTCGAAAGGTGCTGGACAGTCTGCTAATGGTGTCCATCACTTATACGAGTTATTGTAGAAACAGCATGTGTAAAAGTAAGAATACTATACAATTATATAAGCATTGGTAAGTTAAACAATTTAAGTTGAAAACTCCTATTTTTTGCCTCAAAATGGTCCAAAAACTCCTATATTTCCTGCTTAAATATTCCTTTATTCCTCCTTTATTTTGGATAAGACCTGGCTGACAGCCTGTAACATGTAAATGAAAAATAAACCTTCTTTTTTTCAGTGTACTGCATCAATAAACTAAATATGGAGAGTAGCTTAGTCACCAAAGCAGTCAACACCAAAATACACACAATGGCCAGGGCACTGAAACTTGGAAGAGTGAAAGAGTAAAGTTGTGCGTTTTTAGCTTACAAAGTGACATTGCGAGCTTTTGTCTATCATTCCTCCGTAAACTTGATCTTTAAACAACATCTCATAAATTGCCAAGCCAATTTCATGCAAACTTACAATATTGTCTAGTCAGTTTTTGTTTTGCTTGCAATTGTTATATGACATGACTAAAGACATTTAGTTTTATTCTTCAGTTATTATGTTTATGTTTGTATAAGACCCAAATATATTGTTAAGATTCATTTTTACACATTTGAAAGCCATTATTGTTCTAGTCAGTTTTTGTTTTGCTTGCAATCGTTATATGACATGACTAAAGACATTTAGTTTTAATCTTTAATAATTATGTCTATATTTGTATAAGACCCAAAAATATTGTTAAGATTCATTTTTACAATTTTGAAAGCCATTATTGCTCTAGTCTGTTTTTGTTTTGCTTGCAATCGTTATATGACATGACTAAAAACATTTAGTTTAAATCTTTAGTTATTATGTCTATGAGGGGCGTCCGTGGCCGAGTGATTAAGGTCATTGACTTCAAACCACTTGCCCCTCACCACTGTGGGTTGGAATCCCGACAGGGACTTTGGATTTTTTCATGTGAGGAAGCTATCCAGCTAGCTTAACTGAACGTCGGTAGTTCTACTCAGATACCCGTTCGTGCCTGAAATAATGCAAGGAAGGGCACCTGAACGTCACGATATGACCTATACTGTGTCGATGTGACGTAAAAACCCAAAACAAACAAACAAAAAAAAAATATGTCTATGAAATTAGTTGTTTGTATAAGACCCAAATATATTGTTGTGATTAATTTTAACAATTTTGAAAGCCATAATTGTTCGTGTCAGATATTGTTTTGCTCACAATCATAATGTTATATGGCATGAGTTTAAATCTGAAGGTATTATGTCCATGAAATATGTTGTTTGTATAAGACCAAAATATATTTTTGAGATTCATTTTTACAATTTTGAAAGCCATTATTGGTCTAGTTTGTTTTTGCATAACACATAACGCTATTGTTAGTATTTATTGTTATAAATAGTGATTTGTCTAAGTGGATGTCGAAGTATGTATGTTATTCCATGCCAGTTCATGTTTGAATGAAACTTTTTGTCCAGATAGAAGATTTCAAACTGTAACTTTTCTGATTTTTAGCTTTTACAACAATATTATATTTCCCATTTTTGGTGCTAAGAAATACTGCAACATGTGCTGAATAATAGCTATTGTCAAACATTGTTTTTATGCTCCCCGATAAATTTCGGGGGAGCATATAGTCATCGGGTTGTCTGTCCGTCTGTCTGTACGTACATACGAACCCGAATTCGTGTCCAGCCCATAACTTTGTTATTTCAAGTTGGATTTTAAAACTATTTCACAGAAATGATCACCATATTGAGACGACGTGTCGCCCGCAACATTTAGGTCGCTACCTTGAAGTTCAAGGTCACACCGTGACCTTGAACAAAAATTGTGTCCGGCCAATATCTTGGTTATTTGATGTCGGATTTTACAACTATTTCACAGAAATGATCACCATATTGAGACGATGTGTTGCACACACCATTTTGGTCAATACCTTGAAGGTCAAGGTCGCAACATGACATTGAAGCAAAATCGTGTCCGGCCCATAAATTCGTTATTTGAAGTCGGATTTTACAACTATTTCACCGAAATGATCACCATATTGAGATGATATGTCACACACAACATTTGGGTCATTACCTTGAAGGTCAAGGTCACAGCATGATCTTGAAACAAAAATGTGTCTGGCCCATAGCGTCGTTATTTGAAGTGTGATTTTACAACTATTTTGGAATTATCAGACTTTGAACTTTGTCTGGGACATAACCCTGAAACTTCAAAAGATATACTTTTCTGTGTCCAAATCCTAGTCGGGGGAGGATCACCCTGGTTCAATAGGCTCTTGTTTTAATTGATTATTAAGTAATATGAACAATTCATGATAGCATCATAACTAAAGAGTGGAAATTTATGAAAGTCAAATATGTATAGAATCAGTTGCTAATAAAATGTGTGTAAAATTTATCTCTTTTTTTAACTGGGGAATTAATTTCTTTATTTTACAAATTTATCAAATTTCATTTTATTCTACTGATATGTTTGTAATATTTCTTTTATTTTCTATTGAAAAAATGTGTTAAACCAATATGTATTTGTTTTCTTATAATTCAGCTAGTTTTAATTATTCCAATGTTTGAAAAAAATTGTTCGCCAGAACTTTACCAAAATGTTCGCCAAAATATCGCCAGAACATATTTGCTGAAACTTGCAAATATGCAAATGAAGTTTGCCGCAGTGTTACCAAAAGCTTCTGGCGAACCTCCGCAAACTTACTATGCAAATGAAGTTTGCTGCAAATTTGCCGCAAACTTTTGGCGAACATCTGCAAACTTTTACCATGCAAATGAGGTTTGCAGGAAATTTGCCGCAAACAGAAGCTACCGCCCCCTATAACTTGCGGCAAATTTGCCGCTAACCTCATTAGTTGCGGCAAATTTGCCGCAAACCTCATTTGCATGGTAAATAATTGCTGAAAGCAGTTTACCGCAAACTCACCGCAATGTTTGCGGCAAACTTGCCGCAATGTTCACCAGAGAGCCTTTTTTTTTGGTAAGGGGCATGTTATATTCTTGAGTGTTTCTGTAAAATGAAATCTTGATCTCCAATAACCCTATACCGCATTTTGTGAAAAATGGCTATTTTCATTGAAAAGCCTGCTGTAACAAATTCAAATTGCTATGAAACTATCAATAAATGATTCAATACTGATCAAACTAAGCAGAAATGTTGATTTGACCATAGCCTTTGTAATGGCATGCTCATAATACATTGGCAACTAGGGGACATCTCAAAATTGCAATAGAATGGTATTTTGCGTTGATTTTTTCCATCAAAACCGATTGAAAAAGCTGCAACTTCTCAATGGATTGTGAGTCACAATTCTTTTAAACGTTTGTTTCATATAACCTTAAGATCGACCTGAGGCCATTTCTAGCCTCTTACAAGTCCAATGTTTTCTTTGCGACGAGGGGGTTACAAAATCCACATTCTGGTACCCCCTCATGTACATTTTTAATAGGGGCTGCCACGAAAAAGTCATCAATTCTTCAACAACACTTCTGAAACGAAAATAAGTGCGTGGGGTCTATATAAGACATTTGTTCACTATTTCAGACCTCAATGATGTGTGTGTGTGTGGGGGGGGGGTTCAATTCTTTAAAAATGTCAATAATATTCTTAATCATGTTTAAATAATGTATAAATAGCATGATAGATGTTTTACAACTGACAAAAGTAGCATTGCACATGCATGTATACATCATAAATTTAGCAATTTGTAAACAAAGTACATGAAGTGTTTTGACCTCCATAAAAATGCCAAATCATTATTATAATTGTACCAGTTGACACAAAGATCTAAATAAAGAAAGCTCATGTATAACTGCATAAACGAATATGTTTTTTGGAAACTATAACACAGATACTATAAATTTTAGGAAAAAATATTTACAATTTAGCATCATTTGAGTCGCGTCACGACAACACCAACATAGTGGGTTTGCGACCAGCATGGATCCAGACCAGCCTGCGCCTCCGCGCAGTCTGATCATGCTCCATGTTGTTCGCCTACCAACTCTATTACAAGTAGAGAAACTGGAAGCGAACAGCATGGATCCTGATCAGACTGCTCGGATGCAAACGCATTATTTTGGTTTTGTCACGACGCAGCTCATTTCTTATTTGATTCTTCGGGGTTGATGAAAACGTGCCGTCTTTCAATTTAAGAGCTTCTAGTTTGACTGCTGGACAACACGATATAAATAAGCAATTTCCTTTTGAGTGGCAAACCTTGTGTCCATTGGATGAATGCCGAATTTCATTCATTGTCCAAGACAAACAGATACAGGTAAACTAGCGCAAAGACAATGCTCGTCTTAGGCCCGATAAATATTTAATATATTATACCATTATGAAAAATCGATCGGTCTTGCAGTCGAAGTATTGAGACTACTCGTAAACTGTACAATAATTAAGCATTTTTTGGTTAGTTTTTTTTTTATCTTATACCAACTCAATAGACGTCATATGGAAACTTTCTAACTAAACTAGTGGAGGAAAACCTAAGGTGCCCCTCCTTGCATTATTTCAGGCACAAGCGGGCAATTGAGTAGAACAACCGACGTTTCGTACACTAGCTATATAGCTTCCTCACATGAAAGAATCAAAAGTTCTTGGAGGAATTCGAACAAAGGATGAGCGCCAAAAGGCTTGAGTTTATAATTAAATAAAAAATCCCAAAGTTGTGTTAACATGTTTTCTGTTAACAATATAATACATGTGTTAGTTCGGAAAAAAGAAATTATACTATTCTATAACTGTATGCTCCAGGTGTAGGCTGCAATAAATGTGCTCTGTGAACTTTTAATTATTTCAACAAGAAATACTAAATGATTCCCCTATATTTGTAATGTGTGTTTATATATGTGTAATGATTGAATATATATACTTTTTGTAAGGAATAAATTTGCAGTTTTTGTGAAAATTTGGAATTTATGACCATAACTGTTATTTCAATTGAAATTTCAGATATGTGTATCATGCCTAAGGCGGATAAAGCTGATCAGTGTTTACCAGGGATTATCCAATATAATAGATGTAGCCTACATAATATAAGGCAATTATCACCAGTCAAATTTGATCCTTGTGTACTAGAAACATTAAAACTTCTAGACATACTAAAGCAATAAAGGGGTACTAGAGGGGGTCGTGTCATTGAAAAAATAAATATGGGACACAAATGATTGAGTTCACCTTCATAACATTAGAATTTTACCTCAGAATGTATTAACAAGAATAAAAAATTTTGAACATAGACTAAATCCCAATATAAACAGTGTTAATCTTGACAATTTGAGAAAGATCACATTTGAACCACTGTTTGTAAAGGGCAAACTAAGATTAAAATATGCTGTTACAATTCAAGATCAGTGAAAAATAAGTGTTTGGCCTTTTCTAAATACATCATATCCAATGATTTTGACATCATCGCTGTGACAGAAATGTGGCTCCTGGTGACACAGCGTGTATTGCCGAATTAGTACCTAGTGGATACAAAATTGCCCATGTTCCTCGCCAAGGTCGTGGTGGTGGAGTAGCGGTTATTTACATGGCACCCCAAAAACTATCTATGCTTGCATCCAGTCGCAATACTAATATTACCTCGTTTGAATATATAGACTGCAATATCACTGTAAAAAACTTTTCTCTACGATTAGCTGTGTTTAATAGGCCGCCCTCAAACAAATAGAATATCTTTAAGACTAGTACATTTCTTGATGATAAAAGGCCGACATTTCTTGCAATATTTACAACTGCTGAGAACAATATTATTGTGGTGGGCCATGTTAATTTTCACCTGGACAATCTTTCATACCCTAACACTGCAAAATTCAAAAGTGTCTTGGAAGCGTGTGGCATGCGACAACACGTCACTAACCCAACTCATGTAGCAGGCCACATACTAGATGTGCTCATTGCCAGAGAAACAGATTCAACAGTATCAAATGTAGAAATGTCTGATTCTGGACTCCCAGTCAATAATGGGAACACGTCTCGTGATCACTTCGCTGTTGTATTTAATGCTAGTATGTCAAAACCACCACCAGTACGAAAAACTGTGACTTTTAAAGTCGAAGTTGTATTCTAATAGCCTACTAGAAGCAGCATTATTTCCTGTCTTTAATTCATTATGTAAATATATTTTCATAACAATACAAAAAATTGCAGTATCCATGCTGGAGTCTTATTGTTGCTCAGCATAAATATTGTTCATCATAAGTGCATTGAATAAAGTTATTGATTGGATATTAAATCAGATTTTAAATAATGATTTTTTCTTTTTCTTGTTTGCTTGGGTTCCTTGATTTTCTTTTTTATATAGTTTTTAGATTTTGCAACTATGATGTTTTTGTTTTTTTAGCACTATGCAGTTACGTGGGAACGGTATCCATAGCTACAGGATGTTCAGTCCTAGGTATTATTTTGAATATCATTTAATTTAGGAACGCATGTTATATTCTTGAGTGTTTCTGTAAAATGAAATCTTGATCTCCAATAACCCTATACCGCATTTTTTGAAAAGCATTGAAAAGCTGCAACTTCTCAATGGATTGTGAGTCACAATTCTTTTAAACGTTTGTTTCACATTACCTTAAGATCGACCTGAGGCCATTTCTAGCCTCTCACAAGTCCAATGTTTTCTTTGCGACGAGGGGGTTACCACATCCACATTCTGGTACCCCGTCATGTACATTTTTAATAGGGGCTGCCACAAAAAAGTCATCAATTCTTCAACAACACTTCTGAAACGAAAATAAGTGCGTGGGGTCTATATAAGACATTTGTTCACTATTTCAGACCTCAATGATGTGTGTGTGTGTGTGGGGGGGGGGGTTCAATTCTTTAAAAATGTCAATAATATTCTTAATAATGTTTAAATAATGTATAAATAGCATGATAGATGTTTTACAACTGACAAAAGTAGCATTGCACATGCATGTATACATCATAAATTTAGCAATTTGTAAACAAAGTACATGAAGTGTTTTGACCTCCATAAAAATGCCAAATCATTATTATAATTGTACCAGTTGACACAAAGATCTAAATAAAGAAAGCTCATGTATAACTGCATAAACGAATATGTTTTTTGGAAACTGTAACACAGATACTATAAATTAAAAAAAATTTAGGAAAAAATATTTACAATTTAGCATCATTTGAGTCGCGTCACGACAACACCAACATAGTGGGTTTGCGACCAGCATGGATCCAGACCAGCCTGCGCCTCCGCGCAGTCTGATCATGCTCCATGTTGTTCGCTTACCAACTCTATTACAAGTAGAGAAACTTGTAGCGAACAGCATGGATCCTGATCAGACTGCGCGGATGCGCAGTCTGGTCTGGATCCATGCTGGTCGCAAACGCATTATTTTGGTTTTGTCACGACGCAGCTCATTTCTTATTTGATTCTTCGGGGTTGATGAAAACGTGCCGTCTTTCAATTTAAGAGCTTCTAGTTTGACTGCTGGACAACACGATATAAATAAGCAATTTCCTTTTGAGTGGCAAACCTTGTGTCCATTG